TCTGAAGAACGCAGTCTCCGAATCCTGGGAATCAGGAAGGAGTCACCCCTCCCCAATGAAGGGAGAAAAAGAGGGACTGATAGCATTTTTAAAACTTTAACCATCATTGTCCTGACAACTGGGCCTCGCATGCAGAGTCTAGGCCAAGAGAGGGTTTGAGGATCAAGGGTTGGGAAGTCAATAGGAAGAAGAAACATTGACCATCTAGACCCAAGCTGTGGTCTGGACGCTTTGCTAAATTTACTATTGTCTGAGCAACAGGGAGTTCACCCAATTTGAAACCCCTAGTAGCTTCTCGAAAATGGGAAATCAGGAGATAAAATGGGGAGTCACACACCAATATTGATCTAAATTAGGTTGCCTCAAGTTCCTGTAAATCATGCAAACCATGAAATGATCTTGGTCTGGCCAGGTTGCTGAGTTGAGCCACTATAGCCTGATTAAATCTAGCCAGGCTGGCCCAGGCCTTTGAGCAATAACCGGTTAAAGCCTTATATTTGTTTTCAGTAGTTTTTTTCTTTCAATTTTATTTGTACTTTGTTTGTACTTTGTATAAGACACAGCAAATTTGCATATAGAGATCAGAAGATCAGATGTAAGAAGTTTATTCTCCGTAAATGAAGCGTATCGAGCTTATTAAGTACAAATGGTTTACTGTTTGTTGTTCTGAGCCTAATGCAGGTACACCCAATGAGCAACCCATTGCGGTTTATTATGAAACCTTATATAGAAAATCCCAAGCTTGGCTATAATCACAGCTTGCTTAATTTAGACTAAATTTGTCAATTCAGTGTTAATTTCTGTAGGTGAATATTGGAAAATGAAAATTTCTTGAATCCTAGGTTACTGCAGACCATGCATTTACATCAAACACTGCTCATAGATACATTAACATGCAAATTATAGTTTAATTGCATGCTAATGAGACACCGTTTAAAATCTCATTTATAAGAGAAAATGGAAGCTCCTAAAAAAATTTTTAAAAGGAAGTTTTGTCTAGACAGGTTTCAGAATGAAAAACTCAGAAAGGTATGCTTTAAGGAAATATGTTGCAAAAGGAATGAGTTTTCCATTAACATATATCATATAATATGTAAATTGCTAAATAATTTCCTTCTCATTATGAAATGTCTGCGTCTGTAGAGTCTCTCGATATTACTAGTAAATGAGGACAACCGACTGTAACTGTACAAGTATTCTTACATAAAAGGTATTAGACTGCAACTCCTAAAATAATAGACTGTAACTCCCATTTTTAAATGTTAGCCTTAAATTTACAAAGTATTATGGGAATGGTAGTGCAAGAGTTGTTGTAAAATGTGAATTTGAAAGATCGGGGACCGTTTTGCCCCCATTGTTATGGTTACTGTTTATACAAAGCCAAAAAATATTCCACAGCGCCGTGAAAATGTGAATTAAAAAAAAACAAACAACCTTAGAGATTTACAGGGCTTGCCTTAAGTTAGTTTCTAATCGAAAGCTTTCAATCTGGCTATTTCAAATTTCAAATATAAGTAATCATTGTTCAAAAAAATTGTACAGCGCTGCGGAATAAGTTGGTGATATATAACGGCTATTAATAATAAAATCATATACAAGGTCAATAACTAGTGTGAGAATTGTTGGGAATTCAAATGTAAGGCCGAGGTAGCTGAACTGAATGCATAGGTGACTTTTTCCAGAGATTTATTTTTTATTTTTGCTATTGGTATTTTGTCTTTAAATTTGAAATTCACCTAAAATTAATTTTGAATTCTCACTTTAGTTTAGTTTTCCCATTACGCAGTTATACCATGTTTCTCTTGTAATCTGATATCCTGTGTGTGAGAAAGAGGTGGAATAGGGCAAGGGGTTAATAGTTATTAGGGCAAAGGGGGGAAAGAGGACACTAGACAAGCGAAATGCTCTAATTTCAATGGAATTTAGAGAATCTGTCAAAAACAAATTTGTGACATAGTTAAAATATACCCATCGATGTATATGTCCAGGATGTGGTGAATATTTCCCTGATTCCCTGGGAAAATGTCTTAAAGTGTGTCTAAAATTAACCCTTACCGCACCAAGCCTACCTAAGAAATGGGTTAACCCTTACCCCACCAAGCCTACCTAAGAAATGGGATAACCTTTAACCCTCCAAGTCTACCTAAGAAAGGGGTTAACCCTTACCCCACCAAGCCTACCTAAGAAAGGGGTTAACCCTTAACCCTCCAAGTCTACCTAAGAAAGGGGTTAACCCTTACCCCACCAAGCCTACCTAAGAAAGGGGTTAACCCTTACCCCACCAAGTCTACCTAAGAAAGGGGTTAACCCTTACCCCACCAAGCCTACCTAATAAATGGGTTAACCCTTACCCCACCAAGCCTACCTAAGAAAGGGGTTAACCTTTACCCCTCCAAGCCTACGTAAGAAATATGTTAACCCTTACCCCACCAAGTCTACCTAAGAAATAGGTTAACCCTTACCACACCAAGTCTACCTAAGAAATGGGATAACCGTTACCCCACCAAGCCTACCTAAGAAAGGGGTTAACCTTTACCCCTCCAAGCCTACCTAAGAAATATGTTAACCCTTACCCCACCAAGCCTACCTAAGAAAGGGGTTAACCCTTACCCCACCAAGCCTACCTAAGAAAGGGGTTAACCCTTACCCATCCAAGCCTACCTAAGAAATATGTAATCCCTTACCCCACCAAGTCTACCTAAGAAATAGGTTAACCCTTACCCCACCAAGTCTACCTAAGAAATGGTTTAACCCTTACCCCACTAAGCCTACCTAATAAATGGGTTAACCGTTACCCCACCAAGCCTACCTAAGAAATGGGTTAACCCTTACCCCACTAAGCCTACCTAAGAAAGGGGTTAGCCCTTACCCCTCCAAGCCTACCTAAGAAATATGTTAACCCTTACCCCACCAAGCCTACCTAAGAAATGGGTTACCCTTACCCACCAAGTCTACCTAAGAAATAGGTTAACCCTTACCCCACCAAGTCTACCTAAGAAATAGGTTAACCCTTACCCCACCAAGTCTACCTAAGAAATGGTTTAACCCTTCCTAATAAATGGGTTAACCGTTACCCCACCAAGCCTACCTAAGAAATGGGTTAATGACTATCTGTCCCTTGGACTATACTGAGGGCAATAGAAAGGCCCTTACACAAGATGCTTTTTCCGATATACTTATATATAATATCACAATATTATTATTATTTATAAAGTGCCAACAAATTCCACAGCGTTGTACAAAGGGTGGACTGACAGACAGGTATTTGTAACAATTTGTATCAATATACCATTTGATAGAGGTACTCCACATGTTATCACCTTATAACAAAATTACTTAAGTAAAATGTATCATATAACATAGCATATGTATATATATATATATATATATATATATATATATATATATATATATATATATATATATATTTAAAATTATAGAGCGAGATAATTATATATAGATTTTTTTTTTATTACTATTATTTAATTTTCTTTTTTTAGGCCTTCTACCCTAATTTAGAGTTCATTGAGACCCCCCACTTGTCCATTCCTGTCAAAGAGTTAATATCTCACTCTAGAATTGAACAGGAATGCCCCGTGTTGGGTTGGCGTTAATCCACGGATCAATAAATGCCTCAATGTGTTTTCATTTTTTATTTTTTTTTACAGCTCTTGTTTTTCAAATGAACCCTTTGCATTATTGGGTTTTATCCCCCTAAAGAAATCAACAGCTGGCCCCAGGGAGCCTTTGTGCTTGGTCAAGAAAAGACAAAATGTCTCCAAGCCTGACAGATGGTCATTTGGAGGTCATGTGATTACAGGCCGGTGTCCATGGCTCCCATTATTCATAGAGACATAAATCTGCTTGTGTTTAAAGGGGCCTGGTTCTGTCACCTAGAAACGCTAACAGGCTTAGCAATAGCCCACTAGATCCAACAAGAACTTGAATGTAGAACATGTTACTAAGTATTTTTGAAGAAAAAGTTACATTGGATTTTAGTCTTATTTACTAAACAATTGTTTGGCAGAAGTTGGCATCGGTTAAAAAGCTAAATTAAGGCAAAAAGAGCTACGTTCCAGAATTTTTGCAACTATCAGGGTTATTAACAAAAACTTGAATTGTCAGAAATTCGAAATTAACGTTAGGCCAAGAAAAAATAAAAACCATTGCTGGCTTGAAGAATTTTTCCAGTTCAATCTATTTTTGTCAAAAATGAATAACCCTGTAAATATACACTTTTTAATTAATATTTTTTTTTTTTTTACTCAAAATGCTTTATTAAACAAATTCCCGGACACAGAAAAATAAACAATGCTTCAATCGGATTTTTATACAGGATACAGAGAAACATGGGAGACATTTAAAAAAAAAAATGTGTTAAAGCAATCAGATTAAGATGATTTTCCTTCACAACACATAACACATTACGTCAATAATGCATTTATTTTTGTTTGTTATGTCCTGGCTGAGCCTTTGAAATAATCTTGAAAAATTGATATGTTGGGAAAATGCTAATTATAACCTTCCATGATTGTCCATAATAGCTTAGAGCTCCACTGTAAATTAAAAAGTCCACCAACGGTACTGCACCATCGATAAGTCTAATTTGACAGCAGCAGTTTTTAAAACCAGATATGATTCAGTAGGTAACCTACAACATATTCTTTAATATAGCATAGAACTTGTCACCAGTGGGGTACCTTAGGGATCTGTACTTGGACCCATTCTCTTTAATATTTTTATTAGTGATATTGCAGAAGGTCTTGATGGTAAGGTATGTCTTTTTGCTGATGATACTAAGATATGTAACAAGGTTGATGTTCCAGGAGGGATAAGCCAAATGACAAATGATTTAGGTAAACTGGAAAAATGGTCAGAATTGTGGCAACTGACATTTAATGTGGATAAATGCAAGATAATGCATCTTAGACGTAAAAACCCAAGGGCAGAGTACAGAATATTTGATAGAGTCCTAACCTCAACATATGAGGAAAGGGATTTAGGGGTGATTATTTCTGATGACTTAAAGGTAGGCAGACAATGTAATAGAGCAGCAGGAAATGCTAGCAGAATGCTTGGTTGTATAGGAGAGGTATTAGCAGTAGAAAGAGGGAAGTGCTCATGCCATTATACAGAACACTGGTGAGACCTCACTTGGAGTATTGTACACAGTACTGGAGACCGTATCTTCAGAAGGATATTGATACCTTAGAGAGGTTCAGAGAAGGGCTACTAAACTGGTTCATGGATTGCGGGATAAAACTTACCAGGAAAGGTTAAAAGGATCTTAACATGTATAGCTTGGAGGAAAGACGAGACAGGGGGGATATGATAGAAACATTTAAATATATAAAGGGAATCAACACAGTAAAGGAGGAGACTATATTTAAAAGAAGAAAAACTACCACAACAAGAGGACATAGTCTTAAATTAGAGGGACAAAGGTTTAAAAATAATATCAGGAAGTATTACTTTACTGAGAGGGTAGTGGATGCATGGAATAGCCTTCCAGCTGAAGTGGTAGAGGTTAACACAGTAAAGGAGTTTAAGCATGCGTGAGATAGGCATAAGGCTATCCTAACTATAAGATAAGGCTAGGGACTAATGAAAGTATTTATAAAATTGGGCAGACTAGATGGGCCGAATGGTTCTTATCTGCCGTCACATTCTATTCTATGTTTCTAAGGGGTCTGTAATAATAACGTACCCCTATATCTCTTAATTCATAATAAATCTTCTAGGGATACATTTATTGGGGTCCCTGTTGAGGATTTGGTGGGTACCTTCTCAACCTCTTAATTCTCCAGGGCACAGTCCTCTGAATTTTTACCCCTTTACTTCTCTGGTGATTCCTGCACAAGTTTAGAAAAACATTAGACATATTTAAAAATATTCAAAATGGGCATTTGGGAATAAGCAACCGAGTGCATGCTGGGAAATAGTATGCTCTAAACACAAGAGATTAAAAAAAATACACTTTAAAATATATTTTAAAATATCTTTAAAAAGTAGGGAGAGTTTTTAATAAATGTCACGGGTAAAAATATATATATATATTTTTTTTATCACTTAGCAATTAAACTGAACAATATTCTTTACATTAACTGTTGTGCTGTGTGGTACATAAGCCCTACAAAATACAGAAAAACAGCTTTATAGACCAGGTTTCCCAGACCTGGAGCAATGGATGGGAAAATGAAATTGCTACCACATTTTAAATACGGTGGACAGAGAGAAGGGCCTTTTTTTAATACACTTTCCCAGCAATGCCTGCTGTGCAGTAACCTATCTCCAGCTTGCGTACACATCTGTATACACACATATTGCATTCTCTGTCGACTGTTCACGAGGCTCTGTTAAAGTGTGGGGTCTTTAAAATGCTTTAACTGACCACCGAAGTGAGGGCACTAAGAACTATAATCACTACAGCTCCTTGTAGTGGTTATGGTGTTGTGAGTTCTTGGGTACATTCGCTCTGTCTTTTTAATACATTTTTATTATTATTTCAATCTGTTTTGGAGTGGTTTGACAAATTCAGGGATTTCCCCAGCACTGAAAGTCTAGCATCTCTGCAGCTATTCAGATAAAGTGAGTGATTAATTTCTGCATTATCTGTACGTAGCTGTCCAAACACACCTGCCCGCCACGCTCCCAGCCTTTCATTGCTGTCCAAGGTCCAATCAAAATGGTTTGACAGAAAACTGGGGACGGAACATTATGCAATTATCTACGTTTTTATTCACTACATATTCACAGAAACATAATTGCCACACAGAATAATAATATTAGATATCTTTCTTTTTGACGTTTGAGGTACAAATAATGAATATTAGGAGGGGATGTTTATTATTGCAACTTTTTTTTTTTTTACACATCATTCCTTATTTGTTAAGTTGCCACTTATTTGTAAATGCCGCCATTTTTGGATGACACTTACAGTTATGAAAGTTGAGGTTATACATTGTTACCCCAAATACCCGACAGAGAGTGTGTGCACCACTGCGTACTTTATCACTAAGGATTATATTATCTTACTAAATGTTATACTACATATATCTTATAGGGAATGCTGAAAAGCAATCTTGACTTGAATTTTAAAGAAACCATATATTAATTTATTTTGATTCCTAAAATGATTAGCAGTGCCCTGAATCCCTCTGTTTCTGTGAGTCCAACTCGTCTGGTCACAATTACGTGTCTGTTAGTCTGCCCGTTGTACAGCGCTGCGGAATTTGTTGGTGCTTTAAATAATAATAATAATATTTCATAGAGTTGATATTATAGACATTATAACTCGTTTTTCATTTGTTAATGTTGCAAGTTGAGTGGAGATAGCACACACGTGCCTAATAACCCCCACACCACCTAAAAAATATTAACTTAATGAAAGCTTCAGCAAGCATTGCACTTAAACAGAAATATTGTGAGAAAGGAGACCTCAAAGCCAAAAACTGCACAAAGTATTCATATACCAGGAAACACCCCCACTTCCCCTTAATTGTGTGTCTCGCCCCATTGTCACCTGGTTCAGTCAGGTCCCTGGGAGCTGTTATTATGGTAACAATCTCTGGTTAAAGAGGTGACAAAATGCAGCGAGGTTCAAACAGTGGTCTAGGGACTCAGGAAACAGACGTTCACTGGCATATACGTGGTAAAAGGTATATAAAACAGGACAAACAAACAAAGGAGTTTACAGTCTCTCTCTGTGAATGGTTTGATGGAAAATGCAAATAGAAACTTAATTTCAGCCAGTGACACTTGGGTAGTGTTAGGATGAAGTCACAATTAACAACACGGTGTCACCAAAACCAATCTGAATTTCCAGAGAGGGGACATGACTGTGTGACCCGATCGTACCCCCCACTGATCCTCAATCCAACGTAATCCAGGACCCACCACAAGTAAGGCTGTAGATAGTGACATCGTGATGCCTTGAAATCTAACTAAAACTAAACTAACGAACTTCAGGAGCCTTGGAATGATTAATACGGTCATTCACAAAACACGGCATTTTTGTGAATTAAATGTAAACGGCAAAAATTGAAGCTAAAACGGTCGAGCTGTTGTTATAACATTTAATTCTAATTTCCCGAATTTAGCTGTAGTCATAGCTCGACTTTTTAAAATTGTGCAATTCAGATTTTACCTGACCGCAGTTTGGAATTAGTGAATAGCCCTTTAAAGGAACAGTCTAAAAAAAAGAAAAAGAAAAGATTTGTTCCTTTATAAATTTAGACTGAGGGGTGGGCTCCTCCCCCAAAGACCCGCACACCCATCCCAATTTTATACCTTACAATGTTGGAGTGTCCCTTTAAGTGTGTTCCCTGTGTCTTTTATATTTGCTTGTCTGCTCAATGTTTTGCCCGTTAGAGGATTTAAATAAATGTGACAGCTAATTCATACTTTGCGGAGGTGAAACAAGAATTCAATGGGATCTTTTGGGTTACTTACATACAGGGTTATTCACAACCGTGAGAATTCAAAGTGAATTTCAAATTTAAGGCCAAAGTAGCCGAAATGGAAGCTTAGCAGAGAAATGTTTTACTTCCAGCTATTGCAATCCCCTGTGTATTCACTTAGAATCCTGCTTTAGAGAATAACTCTGCAAATAGTGGCTATAGATGGGTTCAGTGGTGTAACTACCATGGTTGCAGGGGTCGCAGCTGTGACCAGGCCCGTCACTCCAGGGGGCCCAAATGCCGCTGCGACCCCTGCAACCATGGGCCACCGGCATACTTTCAGGGCTGGTGACTGGCAAGAGGAGTGCGCTATGCTGAGACACATGGCGGGGCTGGGGGGTCAGTGGTTGATACACATGGAGGGGCTGGGGGGCCGTGATTATACACATGGAGAATTGGGAGATGAACACATGGAGGGCAGGGGTCGGTGTGACACACATGGGGGCTGGGGGGGTGGAGGAGAAGGGGCACACACAGGGGTGGGTCGGTGATGGCCAGGAGGGCTGGAGAGTGGATTACATGGAGGGAGGGGTGATGAGACACATGGAAGGGGTGGGGTCGGTGGGTGATACACACACACATGGGAGATGAGGGTGGACACACACAGGGCTGGGTGTGGGTGAGACACATGGAGGGGCTGGGGGGTGGGTGAAACACATGAGGGGGTGGGTCAGGGGATGAGACACATGGAGGGGCTGGGAGGGTGTGGGTGAGACACATGAGGGTGGGTGCCCAGGGAAATTGTGCACCGGCGCCTGTTGGTTTCAAGTTATGCCTAAGGATGGGTTATATAATTTTTCCAAATAAGTATTTTCAGCCTACATTTTGCCACACAGTCTACAAAAATTAGTTAGTAAGATACCATAACACGTTTTTCACATCCTACTCTGTCCTCTCGTGCTGGTTTCATTATTGTGACACATTGTGCAGTCTGTGAAGGCAAGACTATGATGAAGAAATAAATGACTTTTGCAACTATTTTTGGTTCCTTTATCACATGTTTACCTTATTCCTCAGTTTTGATAAGCATCCAGCACAAAACACATTTTTAGCTATTTTTATCAAGACAGAAATTATACAAATTAGGAGCAAAACACCAGCAGAATTCTCAACACAAAAACATGTGAATTGTCAGGAATTCAGAGTGAATTCAAAATGTCAGGCCAAGGTAGTTGAAAGTGCATACATTCCCCATTCAGCTCTATTTACATCTGCAGCTATTTTGGGCTGACATTTGAAATTAACTCTGAAATCACTTTAAATCTTTAGTGTTAATTGTACGTCTGTCATAGTTTCCATGGCAGCTATAGGTTTTTCTCTGAAGTGCGCTGTTACACCTTAAATAAAGAAAGACCAAAAGGAGTCACAAACAGGCGCACAAATTAAAAAAAAGGGTCTGACAAGAATTTGCCGATGGGGTGGGATTTTATTTTGCGTAATACAATTGCTGTTAGTAGCCCTGTTGGTGAGCTCACTGGCACAGAACCCCCACTCCAGCATTCTCGTTATTGCATTAGTGCAGTAATTTAGGGAGTAAAGGGTTAATGAAGTCCTTGGTGACATATGGCAAGTGGTCCCTTTCTGAAGCTGTTGAAGGCAAGCTGCAAAAACACTATTAAGGAACAGGAGGAGGAGGATCATATAAGCCTGTTATAGAACTGCCTCCCTCCTGCTGACCATATGATTCAGACAGCCCCGGGGCACTCACACAGATATCGTTTCATACCCGTGCCAGGACAGGTTTTCTCCAGCATAATT